AAAAATGTCAGATTTATGCTAAAAGCTCTACAAACCCGTCAGCTGTGTTTACACAGCATTGCAGCATGTCGTTCCATTGTTGTGCTCTCTCACCTTTAGTCTGTTTGTCCTCTGTCATTCTGCTTTTTTTCCATCTCCTTCCCCACCCTGCCAAACCGCCGAGGTAGGTGACTGCCACACCCTGAACCTGGTCCTCTTAGTTTTTAACTTTACCGGCGTTTTAAAGACCCTACAGTGATCGTTATGGTCTTTACTTTGCAGTTCAAAGTGCCGTAAGGTTACTGTTGTTATTTGGAGTTCTATCAATACACCAAATCAATTTCTAAGTCTGAGTTTAATCTCTTCAACACTTCAATCTGTTAAAATCTTACTACAAGTATTATACCTGATGGAGTGACTTCTTCCATTCATGTGTAATAAAAGCATCTTAAGATGACGTCAAGATGTGAAACTGACAAATTTACTTCCTTTAGTCCACAGGTGTCGAACTCCAGGCCTCGAGGGCCGGTGTCCCTGCAGGTTTTAGACGTGTCCTTGATCCATCACAGCTGATTTAAATGGCTAAATTACCTCCTCAACATGTCTTGATGTTCTCCAGAGCCCTGGTAATGACCTAATCATGTGATTCAGGTGTGTTGACCCCGGGTGAGATCTCAAACCTGCAGGACACCGGCCCTCGAGGCCTGGACTTCGACACCCCTGCTTTAGTCTCATGTCTTTGCCTGCAGTTCACATTGAAACTAGTTTATTATTGTTGCATCATCTCCAGAAACATGGAGTTTAATTTGTGAGAGTATCTTCCAAACCACAAAGTCGAGAATACTTTCAAAGAAAAATCTTTACTCCAATAAGAAAAGACGTCATGTGACTGCAAGCTCTCTTCTAACTCCATTATCACATCCCAAAACACCCAATATGTACATGTGCTGTAATCAAATCATTCATGTGAATAATAAGCTGTACAGATCAGAATCTCATGTTATGAGAGGTGATTTATATCCTCAGGCTGTAATGGCTGTCGTGTAATTAATATCCTTAGTATTCCTATTGTTTAATTATATTGTTTTATGTACTTTAATCGTGAAGGTTTGTAGAGCAAGACCACTTTTAACTCACAAACTAAGTGCTCACCCAGACTGAAAACAGGAAGTGTAGAGCTGTACAAGTATGTTAATAACTACAGGAAGCCAGATAGAAAAGAAGAACTTTGCCATATAAGCAATGTTTGTATCGAAACTGTGATGTGTAAACTGCCAAAATAACACCTATATGAGACACAGTTTATGATTCTAATGTTAGAGATCCTGCAACTGTCTGGGCTGTGCAGGGGTCTCTCTCTTCCAGATGATTGAATAAAAAGAAATATAAATGTTTTAACACACTATGAGTCGGTTTTCTCTGTTCTGTCATGGGGACAAAAGAATCGGGGTTAATACTGTACAGCACAAAGGCATCACAGTTCACTAGAACCACAGCTAAGGCTGAAAAATATTTATTTCGCAGAACAAACAATAAAACTGAAAAATCTTCGAGTCCAAATACTTGGTTGACATCTACAGGTGACACTGAGCAAAGTATT